TGTAAGTTTTTCTAATTCTGAGTTTTTCTAATTCTGATATAAAATGTTATTTCACATTATCTTGGATATAATTTTTATGTTTTATAGGTATGGCTTTTTGGTAGCAAGCTTTTAGTGTCAACATTCTGCTCCTTATTTTCCCATTTCTTACGACATGGGATTTGACCCCAATCCTTTTCTGTTGTTCATTTTATAATAGGCTTTCCTGAACTTTTTGGAGCAAGAGGTTGGTCAGGATAGTTTGTCTCCTTTACCGCCCTATCTGTACCCCTTCCTCTGTTGATTTTTATGAAATGATAAGAAGTATTTGGCTTCCTGTGTTCTGAGATCTGTTTCATTAACCCACTTATATCTGGACCCTCCTTTTCTTTGCTTCATTGTGCCTGTGTTGCTCACTTGGTATTCTGCTCCCAGAAATTCTTTTCAGTTTAGGGCTTCGCCCAAGAAGGGGGATTTCAGTCCTTAGTTTTTGAATCTAGAGCCTTCCTTTCCTACTTTATAGTATTGGTATATACAAAAGATCTTTTCCATTTGTAGCTATTCTCAGATTGCCTTTCGAGACTCCAGTGATTTGTGATTTGGGGTTTTTCTGGCTTCAAGTCCTTCATTTACCCTATTATATTACTTCGATCCTTCTGTTTCCTTCTATATATATGCTGATACCATGTGAGTCCTATAGTTGGCGATTTAACCAGATCCTGCTTGTATTTGAGAATTGAAGGGGATACCCTGTCACCCAATCTTGTAGATTTTGTCCTTGGGATTTTGGTTTGGCTGTCCTGGTAACATTTTTCCCTTTTTGTGTGAGGTGGGAGATGGCAGGTGACTAAAAACTTCATTGAGAAGTTTTATTCAAGAGAAGGACAACACAAGTACACTAGCTATTGTGGTGAACCAGGTGAGATGATAGTGGCTTAGTCTAGGATAATGGCAGTGGAGCTAGAAGGTTTGAATCCTATTTTGGTGACTTGTTGGATAACAAAGAGTGAGAGACTGCGTAGACATGGATGATCTCCCAGGATAGGGGTTCTTACAACTGTTTGGATGATGGTACTTTTTCCTAATATTGGGAATATTCATGGAAGAGTAATTTTTTAGGGGGAAGGTATTTTTTTTGAGAGGTGAGGAGTAAAGGGACAAGAGGGACCAGCTATTACGATATTTGTAAGCATCTTGGATGTGAGGCCTTGCAACAATCTATCCTCTACCCCCAAACACACATACAGACATATTTAATTTCTTCAGGGAGCTTTTTCCTGATTCTCTGATATGTCTCCTTCTGATATAGAACTTTATTTACTTTCCTATCTTAACATTTAACACATTTGTATTACTGCTTATTAATCCTGTGTTTTTTACTAGACCAACTGTTCACAAACTTTTTCTTAAAAGGACAGACAGATGGTAAATATTGAAGGTTTTGGGAGCCAAGAGACAAAAAAAAAGATATTATGGGGCACCTGGGTGGCTCAGTTGGTCAAGCATCTGACTTTGGCTCAGGTCATGATCTCAGGGTCCGTGGGCTCGAGCCCCGTGTTGGAGTCTGTGCTGACAGCTCAGAGCCTGGAGTCTGCTTTGGATTCTGTGTCTCCCTCTCTCTGCCCCTGCTCATACTCTGTCTCTCGCTTTCTCTCAAAAGTAAATAAACATTACAAAAAATTTAAAAATAAAAAAATAAAGATATTATGTGGATACTTAGTATCATTTATGATATAACCACTTAAAAGTATAAAACCATTCCTGTCGGGCCCTACAAAAAAACAGACAGCAATCAGATTTGGGCCATAGGCTGTAGTTTGCTGACCACTGTACTAGGCTGTAAATTCTATACTTGTCCTAGTTGCAGGCATATTGCCTGGTGTGTTTTAGATGAATTCAGTAAATTTTTGTTGAGTGAGTGAATATTATTCTTACAGATTGGAGCTCAGGCAAGGGGGTTGAGCTAAAGATAGATATTTTGAGAGTGGTCATCAAACAGAAATTGAAGACATGCGAGTAGATGCCATCAACTTCAGAAGAATGAAAGAAAGAGGCCCAAAGTGGAGCCTCCTCTGTAATTCAGAGAACGGAAGAAGTCATGACTAACTCAATGGTACTTTCATCGTGTACATAGTAGTCAGTACCTATGGCTAACTGACCTAAGCCATTTGGCTATTTTACATACATATGGTTCTTTTGGATGAGTAGGAGGCCTTTAACTATTAGAGATAGGTGAGATAATATATGTATTTTCCTTAGAAATTTTACTACCAGTGTGTTACGTTATAATAAAACAAGCTTTAGAATTCTGCCACTTACACAAACACGTATTAGCAAGCAGTTACCACCTTGCAGTAAAACTTCATCTGTAAGCATACACCATAAAGAACTGATTAGGGTTAGGTGACAAAATCCTCCTAGAAGGTGTGGGATATAGGATCAAAGGGATTCAAAAACCTCTCTGAAGACAGACTGCAGGGCTTTCCAGATTCTTAAACTGCAAACAAGTAAGAATCAAGGCACCTGCACAACATTCCTAACCAGTCTGTATATCTTGAACAATTCCATTTTGGCAATAAAAAGCTATTTCCAATATCTCTTTTATACTAATTAACAAACCACTCCCTAAATTCAGATGTTGGTATTCGAAGCACTTATTAACTGGGAGCTAACTTCTGATATGGGTGCTTTAAATGCTAGCTAACCCACTGTGAAGTGTGGATTCTTAATTTAGGGAACTTCAGAAGTTGACTCACTACTCCTATGGATCCTGAAATATTTTGATGTGAATTACAATATAGCATTAACTTGATCATATTTTTTAAGGGATATGTTGCCTGGATCTTTTTTGTTGTATTCCTATCATAACAGTTCATAAACAAGTGTAGTTGTTATTGCAATTAAAATATTAAAATATTTTTTTCTAATAAAATAAGATAAAAACAGGGAGGCAAACCATAGACATTCTTAATTATAGACAACAAGGGTTGCTGGAGAGGAGGTAGGTAGGGGGAAGTAGGCTAATTGGGTGATGGGCATTAAGGCGGGCACTTGTGATAAGCACTAGGTGTTATATGTAAGTGATGAATCACTAAATTCTACTCCTGAAACCAATTAAAAAAAAAAAAAGATTTTTTCTTCTCCGTTCCAGTAACAGTTGAATTAGGTATTCATGTAGGCAAATAAATTTTAACAGCAGTATAGTTCTAATCTTCAGTGAATCAAGACAATTTAGAGTTATCAAATTAATATTAGTATTTGAAGATTGCTCAACATTTATTACCATTCTTTATGATAAATATATGAAGCAGTCTGTGTATTAAGCAGTCTCTATATTAATACTATTAAAGTCAAAACACAGAAACATAGTATAGAATTAGATTCAAGGCTGTCTTTCTACTGTTGAACCCTAATAGTTATAATAATTTTATCAGTGCATCATTTCATTACATTAAATGAATGCTACTAATTTGAATTTTGTTTGGCAGTTTTGTTTACATTTAATATATATCTATATTTAAGCATAAGTTTAGATTAATATTTCGGTATATCTAGCAAACTTTATAATTTGATTTTCATGGGGTTTCTCCCCAAAGGAGAATTTATCACTGCAATTTAAGAAAACTTGACAGCGATACCATACAAAAGAATTATCAAATAAAATAGTAGCATACTGAGTCTGGCAATATATTATAATAATATACCATGACCATGTAACCTTTATGTAGCCTTTATTCCTAAACTATAAGGATTTTACATACTTACATATGTAATAAAATAATTCATTGTATCAGCATATCAAGGGAGAGAGGGGATATCTAATCATTTCAGTCATTCCTGATAAGACATGGCTGATGGAGCCTCTCAGTAAACTTCGAAGGATACTTCTTTGGGGGCACCTGGGTGGCTCAATCCATTCCGATTCTTGATTTCGTCTCAGGTCATGACCTCATGGTTCTGAGATTGAGTCCCATGTCAGCATGGAGCCTGCTTGGGATTCTCTCTCCCTTTTTCTCTGCCCTTCTCCTGTCTGTGTGCTCTCTCTCTCAAAACAAATAAACATTAAAAAAAAAAAGGATACTTGTTTGCCTTTTGATACAAAATATCTATGCCAAATTTATTTTCCTTTTCATGTGGTTTTAAGGCCATGACAATGAGTTCTTTACTTTTTTAAAACATGAATCATTTGAGATAGATTTAATTGGTTGTAAACAACAAAAACCAACTCTGGCTGATTTAAGGAAAAACAATTTTTTGGAAACATATGGGTAGTTCATAGAATGAGTAGCAACACCTAAGACTGGGAATAGAACCTACTCTTTTTTTTTTTCCTTTCCACTTTGCTCAGGGTTCAGAGTTATGAGGGAGAGTTCTGCTGGCATGGTTTTGGTCTCATGCCCTATTCAAAACGAGGACAGAGTGAGATACTTTAATAGGCAGTTCCATCAGGGCAGTCTACAGCAGAATATATATAATTCCACAGAGAAACCTGGGTGCAGTTAGGAAAGGGGAATGGATTCTAGGCAGCCAAGCCCCACCTCATGTTCCCCCCAAAATTAACCAACAGATATCCAGTAAAATAGACAGGAGTTTTGGCTTTTTAACCTCCTGTATTTCATTCAAAGTCTAAAACTGACCAATCCTTAACCCTTAAAGAGCAATTACTTCTTTTTTTTTATTTTTATTTTTTTTAAATTTTTTTTTTCAACGTTTATTTATTTTTGCGACAGAGAGAGACAGAGCATGAACGGGGGAGGGGCAGAGAGAGAGGGAGACACAGAATCAGAAACAGGCTCCAGGCTCTGAGCCATCAGCCCAGAGCCTGACGCGGGGCTCGAACTCACGGACCGCGAGATCGTAACCTGGCTGAAGTCGGACGCTTAACCGACTGCGCCACCCAGGCGCCCCAAAGAGCAATTACTTCTAAAAAATTTTTTAAATATTAAATGCCTAAGACCTTAACGTATCTACTAGCAGTGTCAGTATTTAGGTACTTAAATATTCTTTATTTTTCTTTTTAGACAATGCGAAGACACCGAAATGAAGTGACAGTTGAACTGCGAAAGGTAAGAAAGTAAAGTAACAGAAACAGAAAGTAAATAGGAGATTTTTCTGATTTTTAAAATTCTGTATGACTTGAATAATGAAAATACTGTGCAAATTAGTGATCACCCCTAAACCACACAGCATATACATCATTAAATAGTTTATAATGGTATATATTGAAAGCTTTCATTTATTGAGGTGCTATGTACTGTGTGAAGTACTTTAATGCCAGCATTGAAATTGTCACATCTGATGAAATTAGATACTCTTGTGGGGTTTTCCTTAATATCCTCTTTTTTTTAGGCTATGTGCCAGACAAGATTCCTCCACCTTCTTCGTGTAAAAGTTATACATACTTGTTCAAGATTCTTTAGAAAAATAAAAGTAGAATAACCTTATATCTTACCAATTAAATGCAACTGCTGTTAAACTTTATTGTATTTTCATCTATTTTTTTTGGAGGACTTTAGAGTTACCTTTATGATACTGTGTTTTCATGCAAGCACATTTTATTTGAAGCAAATATTTCAGTTGCCAATCAAGAAAATACACATAATAGGGCACCTAGGTAGGTTAGTTGGTTAAGCATCCAACTCTTGGTTTTGGCTCAGGTTCATGAGTATGAGCCCCGCATTGGACACTGTGCTGACAATGAGGAGCCTGCTTGGGATTCTCTGTCTCTCTCTCTCTCTCTCTCTCTCTCTTTCTCTCTCTTTCTCTCTCTCTCTTTCTCTCTCTCTCTGCCCCTCCCCCACTTGTGCCGTCTCGGTCTCGAAATAAATAAATAAAATAAAAACTTAAAAAAGAATACACATAACTAGTTCTCTATATTATGTGTACATTTAAAAAAATATTTTTTGGAACTTATATTCAAATCTTTGTGTTTGTTTTAGGTTAGATCCTTTTCTTCACTCCTGAAATTCCTAAATTAAAATTATCATCTTAAAATTTTTCAGTTTTAAAGAGAGGGAAGGTCTTGATTCTGAGAGTAACACTCTCCCAGTCACTAAAACTAAATAGACCTGTGCATTTATGTACTTAATATGTATTTATTTAATACCCATTTTGGGTCATGAATTTTTACCCAGCATCAATGGTTTATGCTCATAAATAGTATATAGTTACTGAAATTCATTCTCCTGCAACCCCTCCCCCCAATCTTTATTACAATTGAAAAATGCTTGCTAAATCCAGTGTTATTTAACTCCTTAACCTCTTCAAAGATACTTACCAATTAACAACAGTGATTTGGCAATTATATTTTCAAGTTTTTTCACGTCCTTGGTTCATTTGGACCAGAGAAGTCAACTAGCTAAATAAAGAGTGAGGTAGGCTCCTTGCCAGTCTGAACACTTTGTACCTAGCTTCTTTTTTTTTTTTTTTTCTTTTCTTTTAAACTTTTTATTAGCATATAACATACATAGAAAAAAGTCAGGGGTGCCCGGGTGGCTCAGTTGGTTGAGCGTCCGACTTCGGCTCAGGTCATGATCTCACAGTTCGTGAGTTTGAGCCCCACATCGGGCTCTGTGCTGACAGCGCACAGCCTGGAGACTGCTTTAGATTCTGTGTCTCCCTCTCTCTCTGCCCTATCCCCACTCATACTCTGTCTCTCTCTGTCTTAAAAATAAATAAAACATTAAAAAAAATTTTTTTAATAAAAAGTCAACACATCTTAAGCTTGATGAGTTTTCACAAAGTGAACTGTTATACAGTTATCTGTATAATAAGCTTCTGGATCAAGAAAGAACATTACTTGTATTCCAAGGCTCCTTCCAAGTTACTCCTTTTCCCCAAGGGTAACCATTATCCTGATATTTAATATTATAGATTATTTTGCATAGTTTGAACTTTATGTAAATAGAACAGTAAGTGTCCTTTTGTGTCTGGTTTTTCATTCATCATGTGAAGATCATTCTTCTTAATAGAGACAGTAGGAATGGTAGGAATAAAACATCTGTTAACATTATACCAGCTATCCCCAGATGTGGGCCTTTACTTTCCCTTAAATTTTCATGCTTGGAATACAACTCAAAACTTTCATATTGGTCCTGGTATTATTCAGAATCCTCCTCTTGTTTTAAGCTTTTTAGTCCTTCAAATATGCTTATTAATTTAAGCTATTCACTTGTCTTAATATTTGGTTGTTTGTTCCTTCTTCTATAGTTGTACTGTCTTCTGTATTTAATTTATAGAATTAAAATTTCTTGCTTGTCACAGTACATCTTTTTTAATATCCACTTTGTTTGCCTTAGAGTCCTCTTATTCTTTTCATTCCTAAAAAAGAATTATTCCTTTCCGGTTACTAGAATTAGTTCCTAGAAATTCTTATAGAAGGACCAAAAATGAAATTAATTAAGGAAATCTCAAGAAATTTCCTTACTTCACGTTTCAGAATTCCCTGAGTAAGCCCCAGAATGTGAACAGTTCCTGAAACAAAGCCTAAACTTCAAACAAAGCTTAATTGATTTTGATACCATTCTGTAGAGGTATGGAGAGCCCTTCAAGAGAAGATTCCTTTATTCTTTATGGTCAGAGTGTCTATCTACTTCTAGCCTTGCTATCTCTATAGCTCCATTAAGGAGAAAATCACAGCATTGTCGTTAATGACATTGAGATTCTTGTTAATACAAGAAAGCTAGTTTCCAGAGTTTCATAGATGAGCTCTATTTTTATTAGATTGTAATGATCTTAAGTGAAGGTAATAACCACACTCCCCCACTGCTAGTACTCCCAAATCTCTCTCCCAGCCCATCCCTAAATGCCTAGTCAAATTCTGGACCAATAGTTCATACTCATTAAATGCTAATTTTCAAGAATGAAATTGATTATGATATGTTAAAATTTTCTGTGTATTTAAATAATTTCTTGAATTTTCAAGAAAAAATACTATAGCTACAGAGCAGTGCTACTCAAAAGTCCTAATCTGTGACAAGTTAGGGAGCTTATGTCAAAATACTAAACAAGGGACTGACTGCTTCCTTTTCCAAAAAAATCCTTCTGCCTAAATAAATAATGTAAATAAACAATGTGTATAGTTTGACAATCGATTTCTGGCAAAATCTCCATATTTTGGGGCAGACCTGTAACATAGAGTTTGAGAAAATCTTAGCCAGTCCAAGGACTGTACTTTGTTTTTTGGTTTTTTTTTTTATGTTTATTTATTCTTGAGACAGAGACAGAGCATGAACAGGGGAGGGGCAGAGAGAGAGGGAGACACAGAATCTGAAACAGGCTCCAGGCTCTGAGCTGCCAGCACAGAGCCCGATGCAGGGCTCGAACCCACGAACTGTGAGATCATGACCTGAGCTGAAGTCGGATGCTTAACTGACTGAGCCACCCAGGCGCCCCTAAGGACTATACTTTGAATAACATTGATACTGCTCTGTCAGATTAAAGATGAATTCTAGTTATTAATATGTAGTGTTTTACTGGCCTCAAATTTTTTTTCTCTGAACTTTTTTGCCTTTACCTCCTTGATATTTTACTTTCCTATTTAATTAGGTACTTATGCATCAACACTTACACAGAGGTCTGTACTTCTGTTTTAGATCATGTTGTAAACAGGTCACATAGGAATTAAATAACTTGCCTAAAATCACACAGCTGATAAATGGGAAAGCTCTTAACCATTATGCTATAATGCCTCTCAATATAAATGTTTGTTCAGTGAATAATGCCTCATGAGTTGAAAATCCATCCAAAGCCTATCACTGGCATTTTTAACTTTGGCAAAGTATATTAAACTTTATATAATCTTCTCTTGGTGACTTATCAGTTAGATATCCCATAGGATTTTATTGTCATTAGATCTGGGGGTGGGGCACATTAAGTTCTTAACATAATGAAAACCACCACCAAAATGCCATACTTTCACTAATCAGATACAGTATAATTGTTTTGTTTGACCTTTTAGTAAAATATCTTTTTTAAAAAAACCCTAATTCCCCTATATTAACAAGATAATAAAGAAAATTTATATTATCATATCAGTTGATACAGAAAAAGCATTTGACAAAATCCAACACTCATTCTTGATAAAACTCTTGATACATTGCAGATAGAACTTGCTCAGCTTTTTTTCAATTTTATTTTTTATTTTTAAAAGAGAGCACAAGCTGGGGAAGGGCAGAGAGAGAGGGAGACACAGAATCTGAAGCAGGCTCCAGGCTTCAGGCTGTCTGCAAAGAGCCCAACTCGGAGTTCAAACTCATGAACCATGAGATCATGACCTGAGCCAAAGTTGGATGCTTAACCGACTGAGCCACCCAGGTGCCCCTAGAACTTGATCAACTTGATAAAGAACATCTGCAAAAAAACCTACAGCTAACATCATACTTAATGGTGAAAAGACTGAATGGTTTCCCCCTAAGATCTGAGAACAAGGCAGGATGCCTATTCTTACTGCTCTTATTTAATATAGAATCTGCAAAAAAGCTCCTAGAATTAATAATTGAGTTCAGCAAAGTCACAGAAACAAGATTAACATGTAAAAGTCTATCACTTATATATGCTAACAATGAACATGCAGAAACCAAAATTAAAAGCACAATACCATTTATAGCCACTCTGAAGAAAATAAAATACTTTGTTATACATTAACAAAACATGTATAGGATATGTATGGTGAATATTATAAAATGCTGATGGAAGAAATCAAGTAAGACTTAAGTAAATGGAGAGATGTATACTGTGGTCATGAACTGGAAAATTCATCATAGTAAAGATGCCTATTCTCTGATCTATTGGTTTAATGGAGTTTTTATCAAAATCCCACCAAAGTCTTTTTGTAGACTAGACCAGCTTATTCGGAAATGTATATGGAAAGGCACAGACTCTACAAACCTAAAACAATCCTGACAAAGAATAACATAGAAGCAATTGCTCTACCCAATATTAAGGCTCTTGGACACATTTATCAATGGAACAGAAGATAAAACCCAGAAACAAATCCACACAAATACACTCAAGTTACTTTTAGCAGGTGCGAAACCAATTCAATGGAGGAAGAATATCGTTTTTA